CATTAAGGAACATCGTCGTCGAGACCCTTGTTCTATTTTCAATGCTCCCCTCCTGGGTGCGTGGCAATAGGAGGAGCTTTATTACATTGGAGCTTGACGGAGCCTCAGGTGCCCTTTAATTACCCAGCAACGAGTCTGATCGAACGTGTGAGAATGCAAGCTTGCAATCGATCAGCAGAACAATATACTCCAGAAATGTCTTCAAATGGCCACGCAGTGCAACCGATCAATTGCGAGTTTGAAAATTCGTGAAATCGCGTCTACTTGAATTTGGACAAAGATCAATATTACAAGTTACACTTTTTTTTGTACCGATATACAATTGCTTGTCGATCCAAATTCAATTTCTCACCACTGTATGCCGATAAAAATGATGTACTCGTTGAATCGTAATACGTACATTTTTCATCCTCGATTATTACGATATCTGACAACGTCAGACGAGGTAAAAAGATTTCGTTCGTTCGATTTTTAACATTGTTTGAACGAGGGAGCAGTTGCCGGAAATTTCCACGACCCCGACTGCGTCTCGTCAAACAATATCAAACAGAAGCTGGTGAAGACTTCGATCTCGATCGCAAGGATGACGTTGTCTCGCCGACAAAAGTTATATTTCGTGCAAATTGTTCCGTCGTCTAGGTCGAGCCTGACGAGAAAATTTCGTATCCTCGACTGGCCGAAGAGGCGAATATTGGTCAAACTGAGTATTGGTCAAACATCGGTCCCCGAGATTTTTCGAGTAATAATAATAAATGTCGATGTCACAAAGAAAAATAAGTCGAGTATCGGTGTATAATAATAAAGAAAAAAATCAACAAGGGGAAATCGAGCGGAAGCAGCGCAGCCTTAGAGCGTATTAAACACGTAATTTAATAAGCTTTTGAGAGAGACGCTTTTGACTACGAACATTGAAAAACGAAGATGAGAGCGGCTTCGTTCTTTTCTTTTTTTATTACGCAAAGAGATTGCACAGAGGAGCGTGTTTCTCTGTATTTCCATAACGCGAGCTGCAACTGTTGCCGCACGCGTTATAGACGAATGGGAAATTTCGCTTAAATTCAGAAAAATGATTTCGCATTAAGCGCCGGTTCGCCAGACGTGAGACGTGTGTTTGCTTTCCATCGCGAAAGGGTTTTATATGCGGGCGAACGTGCGAGACAACTTCGAGGATAAGCTGTCGTTTGATCGTCGGGGAAATTTTACGGATATATCGATTCTCCCGTTGGAAAAATATTTGCGTTTCATTAAGGAGTTATTATCTATTACGGGGGAGAGGGACGTGTTCTCTATGATATTTGCTTGTTTCCAGACGGTGATACTATAAGATGGATAATTCAGAGGATAAACGCTGAATATATTGGAGAATCGATCGGCAAGTTTCGGGATAGTCGATCATTTATTCACGACACCTCGTGTCACTTAATTTCTCGATAGTATCTTTCATTTTTCTTCTGCAGCCCGTGAGACGATGTAGCATTTACCACGTGTGAAAAACAAAAACTTGTAACTAACGCGACGAACACACTGAAACATAACATAATAGATCTGACGATACATAATCAGATTTGAATTTGAACCAAGATAAAATAAAACAGACAGAAACGACCGAACGACCTGATACAGTGTCCATTCCACGAGTTCCCAAGATCCTCGAACTCGATCTTTCAGTCAAATCCCCGACGACGATTCTCTCCCCCGAGGCTGGAAATTTTAATAACAACAACTCTGCAGGCGTGATGTCGGCCACGAAATTTACGTGTACCAGATAGGAGTTAAGTGTAGCATAGCGCGTGCATTAAATATAACCTAGCCGTCCTAGCCATTTCGAGTAGCTCCCTCGACGGTCACGACGTTCTCGCCATCGACGAAGGGGGATCGTGCGAGCAACGCCACGGGTTGTCGATGGAAACGCGATAGGGGAGAACGTCCAAGGGATGGTAAGAGTCGATGGATTCGTGCCTCTTGCCGTTTCACACCCTCTTCGACCTTCTCCACCACCCACTTCCAGCCCGTTGAACCGACTACCTGTTTCCACCCCTCCCCACCTCCCCCCCC